CAGAGAGTTATATGTACCTTGGGTTATGGGATTCTGAGGCCGAATATATTTGTGACTTTGCCAGTTGACCGCAAATGAAAAGGTTATATGAATTTCTTATGTGACCATTTAACTTATGGATCCAGGCATGAAACAGAGAAAACTTTAAATTCTAGGAGATACACCATAAGATTTTCTTAGAATTGTGCTGTTGTGCTTGCGTTTTAGTTTAAGTAAAATATACTACATTCTATATCTCTGTACATCTTTGTATGTCATCTGGTAGACTTTAAAGCAAAAGAAAAAAAGATACTGGAGTTAAAGAGGACATTTTATAGTGATAAAAAAGCCAATCCAGGAAGATACAACAATTATAAACATGTATGCACCTAATAACAGAACAGCAAAATACATGAAGCAAAAACTGACAGAATTGAAGGAAGAAATAGACAATTCAACAATGATGGTTGGAAATTTCAATACCTCACTTTCAATAGTGGACAGAACAACTGGACAGATCAACTAGGAAGACTTGAACAATATGAGAAACCAACTAGACCTAACAGATACTTCTAAAACACTCCATCTAACAACAATAGAGTATACATTCTTCTTAAGTATGTACAGAACATCCTCCAGGATAGACCATACAATAGGTCATCAAACAACCTCAGTAAATTTAAAAAGATAGAAATAATATAAAATGTGCTCTTCAATTCCAATGGAATGAAATTAGAAATCAAGAGCAAGAAAAAAAAATTGAGAAACTCAAATATGTGGGAATTAAACAGAACTCTCCTGAATCAGTGGTTCAAAGAAGAAATTACAAGGGAATGAGAAAAATTTTATAGGTGAATGTAAATGAAGACACAGCATACCAAGACTTAAGGAATGCAGCTAACACAGTTCTTGGAGAAAAATTTATAGCTATAAGCTCCTATATTAAGAAAGAAAACCTATCTTAAATCATTAACTAATCTTCCACATTAAGACACTAGAAAAAGAACAAACTATACCTAAAGCAAACAGAAAAAAATATAACAAAATGTAGGACAGAAATTAATGAAATGGAGACTAGTAAAACAATAGAGAAAATCAGTGAAACCAAAAGCTGATTCTTTGATGATGTCAAGAAAATTGACATTCATTTAGTAAGATTAACTGAGAAAAAAAAAGAGAAAGGACTCAAATTACTAGAGTCAAAAATCAAAAACTGGACATTACTACCAACCTTATACAAATATAAAGGAATACTACTGTGAATAAATAATATGCCAAGAAAGTAGATATCTATTTTTCTAATAAATATAGTTGAAATGGACAAGTTCCTAGAAAGACATAAACTACTAAAACTGAATCAGGGAGAAGTAGGCAATTTTATTAGACACACTAATAACAAATGAAAAAATTGAATTAGTAATCAAAAACCTACACATAATAAAAAGTCCGGGACCAGATGGCTTCACCACTGAATTTGAGCAAACATTTAAAGAATTAATACCAATACTTCACAACATCTCCCAAAAAGTAAAAGAGGGGTGAATACTTCTCAACTCATTTTATGATGCCAGTATTACCCTGATACAAAACCAAAGACGTCTCAAGAAAACAGAACTACAAACCAATATTTTTTGTGATTATGCATGCAAATATCCTCAAAAAAATACCAGCAAACCAAATTTAGCAACTTAGAATTATCGCCATGATCAAGTGGTGTTTATCTCAGGAATGCAAGGTTGGTTAAACATGTGAAAATTATATAAATACCCTATGTTGATAGAATAAAAAACATCATTGCATGATCATGTCATAGAAGCATTTGACAAAATCCATCACCTTGCATGATAAAAATACTTAGCAAACTAGGAATAAAAGGGAAGTACCTCAACCAGGTAAAAGAACACCACCTAAAAACCCACAAGTAATACCATGCTTACTGGTGAAAGACAGGACACTTTCCTGCTCAAATCAGGAACAAAACAAGGATGTCTGCTCTTATCACTTCCACGCAACATTGTACCTGAGGTTCTAGCCAGGGCAGTTAGGCAAAAAAAGAAATAAGTTTGAAAAGGAAGAAGTAAAACTCTATTTGCAGACAATGTGATTTTATTATAGAAAATCTTAAGGAATCCACTGAAAAACTATTGGAACTAACATGAGTTTAGTAAGGCTGCAGAATACATATCAACATAAAATCAGTTTTATTTTTATATACTTACAGTGAACAATGTAAAAATGAAATTAAGAAAATAATTTTATTCATAATAGCATCAAAAATAAAATACTTAGGAATAAATTTAACAAAAGAAATGGAAAACTTAAACTCTGGAAACTATAAAACACTGTTGAGAAAAATTAAAGAAGATCAAAATAATTGGAAAAATATCCCATGTTCATGTATTGTAATACTTTACATTGTTAAGATAGCAACACTCCCCTAAATGCAAGAGCTGAAACTATAAAACTCTTAGGAAAAAAACATAAGGCTAAGTCTTCATGATCTTCATGATCTTGGTAAAAGATTCTTAGATATGATACCAAAAGCACAAGTAACCAAAAAATTAAAAATAATAAAAATAGATAAATTGGCCCACATCAAAATTGAAAACTTGTGAGTCAAAGGACACCATCAAGAAAGTGAAAAGACAACTTAAAGAATGGGAGAACATATATGCACTTCTTATATCTGACAAAGTGCACATACCCAGAATATATAAAGAATCTTATGACTCAAAAATAAAAAGACAACCCAAAGAATGGGAGAACATATGTGCACTTCTTATATCTGACAAAGTGCATGTACCCAGAATATATAAAGAATCTTATGACTCAATAATAAAAAGACAACCCAATAAACAATGGCTAAAGGGTATGAATAGGCACTCCTCCCAGGAAGATATACAAGTATCCAATAAACACATGAAAAAATGCTCAGTATCTTTAGTCATTAGGGAAACGCTTATCAATACCGTGAGATACCACCCACTAGGATAGCTAGAATCAAAAAGTTGGATAATAATGTTAACAAAGATGTAGAGAAATTGGAACACCCATACACTGCTGGTGTGAATGTAAAATCATGCAGCCACCATGGAAAACAGTCTGGCAGTTCCTCAAAAAGTTAAACATAGAGTTACTGTAAGATCCACCAATTCCAGGTATTAATATATACCCAAGAGAAATGAAAAGGTGTGTCCATATAAAAACTTGTACATGAATGTTCATAGCAGCATTACTCATAATAGCCAAAAGATGGAAACAACACAAATGTCCAGCAGCTAATGAATGGATAAGCAAAATGCAGTATACCATAGAATATTATTTAGCAATAAAAAGGAATGAAGTACTAATCATACTGCAACTTGGATGAATATTGAAAACATTAAATGAAAGAAGCAAGTCCAAAAAGTCAGTATATGATATGATTCCCTTTATGTGAAAGTCCAGAGTAGGGAAATCTACAGAGATAGATAGTGGTTGCTTAGGTCTTGGGGAGAGGTGGGTTGGAATGAGGGAATGGGGAGGATAGCTAAAGGGCACAGGTTTCTTTTTGAGGTGATGAAAACATTCCGTAACTGACTGGTAATGGTTGCATGTATCTGTGGATATACTAAAAACTGTTTAATCGTACACTTTAAGTGGATGAATTATATGATATGTGAATTATAACTCAGAGAAGTTTGGAAAAAAAGAAGAAGTGAGATCTTCTTGTACTACTCTGGAATAATCTCAGAAATATTTTGTTAAATAAGAAAACAAGATGCAGTGGGGGGAAAAGAGTTATTCCATATCTGTATGTGCTAGTGGTTGCACCAATCTATAAATGTGTTAAAATTCATAGAACTGTATGGCAAAAGAGAAAAAAGGCAATATTAGTGTATGATAATGTTTTTAATAATTAAATCTTAAAAAATCAACAGAAACTGAGAGAGGAGAGGAATTAATTGTGACCAGAGTTGATAGTCCTGGCGGTGGACATCAGGGAAATCTTCAAGAAGAAAGTCACAGTCGAGAGTATCTTGAAGGATGTTTGACTCTGGAAGGACGTATTTAAGGAGAGGATTTATGGAGAAAGGAAAGCCATTTCAGATAATATTAACAGTGGGCAAAAGTATAGGGTAGGGAATTTCTGCCTGTCTGTGGGAGCATTAACTGTTTAGTTCTGCTGAACTGAAGGATACATCCAGGAAAGAGAATAAAATCAGATCGTGGGTTTCCTTGCATACCAGGTTGAGAACTGAATGCTTTATTATAATATATAGTGAATGAAAAGCCATCAAAGGTATTTGATCAGAGCTCTGCCTTGGGGACATTATTCTATAAGAAGTATTAATAAGTGATTTGGAGACCCATTTAGAAGGCTGTTATATTATCTGTGTCAAGTGAAAATTAAAGGGCTGATATAGGTGGTGGAGGTGGGAGTGCGGAGGGAACAATTGGGATTGATGGTGTGAAGAACTTGGCAGCAGATTGAGGAGGGATGAAAAAGTCCAGAAATTGGCTCTTAGGTTTTAAGCCTAAGTGACAGGGATGATAGTACTATTTAGAAAAGGAGGAAAAGGAAAGAAGTTGTTTTAGGAGAGAAGTTGGAATTTAGTTTGGCATTTGTTTAGTTTGAGGAACTCTAGTAGACCTCTAAATAAGATATTTAATGGTGTTTAAAGAGGAAAGCCATGTAGTATAGCAGAAAGAGCACTTGCCTATTTCTTCCTCTAACAAATGAGAGATTTGGATTAAAAAGGTAGTTGTTATAGTGATTGAGAGCAAAGATTTTAGAGCTCCGCTTGCTGGGTTCAGCTTTGCAGAAACCTTTTAACCTTGGACATATTATTTATTCTCTCTGGGCCTCAGATTCTGTAAAATGGGGATAATAATTATATACCTACCTGATACGGCTGCTGTGAGGAATATGTACAGACATGCACACACATACTTCTTTACAAGTGTGTGCAATGTCTGTTACATATTAAGTTCATCGTACAGATGAAGTGCTTTTTCAGATCTGAGGATCCGTCGTTAACATGGTCGATTTCTGTGAGACCGGCATTCCAAGGTAGAGGTCAGGGCCAGAGACATAGGCTCATCCTTTCTTGTCTAAGATATTGTTGGGATGAGACACCAAAAGGAGAAAATGGAAAGAACGTGAATGGCAAGGACAGAACGTTGAGGAACACAAAGTCAGAGAACAAGAGCAAGGAGGATATAGGAGGGCCAGTGAAAGACCAGTCAGAGAAAGAGGAGGAGAACTAGGAGATACGAAAGCCAAGCAGAATAGAAAAGATAAGATCGTTGCTTGGAAGAATCACAAGCAAAAAAAAATTTTTTTTAATTTTTAAAAAGAAAAAGATAAGATCAAGGGGAAAATCGTCTTTTAGAGGTAGAGACCACTTGAGCCAAGTTTGGAGGTTTATAGGTTGTATCTGATGGACAGGGAGATGGTGAAGGGGAGAGCAAAGCAAATTAGTTGATGGAGCATAGTTCTGTGAGAATTCAAGTGGCAGACCTTGCCTCAAGAGGAAGGAGGATAATTTCTTTCTTTGAATTAGGATAAAAGAAGGGGTGGCTATAGGGTGGTGCAATCAGATTTTTGAGTTGAGAAATTTGGAAGTCACAGAAGCTCATGTTGGATGACTTCAATTTGTTTACATAAAATAGGAAGCAAAGGTCATCTGTAGAGAGAGAGGAAAGCGGGCAATGAAATTGAAGAGTGTTTCTAAGCAGCTTTAAAACGTTTTCTCTAATTCTGCCCTTTGTTTTGAATGGAAAACAAATGATCTATTCCAGGTATCATGCCAAGAGCTTATTTCAAACTTAAAACATCCGTAAGAGGCTAGTGGTATTAGTATTATTCACATATTACAGAGGCTAATACATGAGACAGAGAAAGGATAGAAAATTGCTCTAGGTTATTCAGCTGAAACCTAGAGGTGGAACCAAGATCGAATACCACGTCTGCACAACTCAGAGCTCCTAATGATCATGCTTTCTGAGGTTTTGCTTTCAAATTTCATTAGAGCAGTAACGTGTTGGTTCAAGAATATACACGAATTACTGGGGTAGAAAAGTATAGAAAAATAACCCATGCATACAATGGAACATAACTTTAATAAAGTTAATATTTTAAATATAAATGGAGAAAGGATGGCTTGTTTGATAAATGCTTTGGGGCAATTAACTAGTCATTTGAAAAAATTATTAACTTTGACCCCATATTTTTAAAAATATATAATATTAATTGGAACAGTGGTTGTGGCAGGGTAGAGACTGAATTAGCGGCATGAGGGAACTTTCTGGAATGATAGAAACATTCTGTAGTTTGAGATGTTGGTTACATTGGTCTATTTTTTTTGTTTTTGTCAGAACTTATCAGGTTGTACCTTTAAAGTCTGTACATTTCAGTCTGTAAATTTTTTCTTTATTTTTAAAAGGGAAACCTACATATACATCTGTAAGACATTGTTAAATGAAAAAAGCAAGCTATAGAATGAGACATATGATATTATTTATATAAAGAAAAAAGAATTACCACCAAATAAAATTATTTATTTCTGTGGATCGACATTCATATATGTAAATATATCATGGTTCTTGGGTCCGGCTGCCCCACTGTACCAAAAGATTCTTTCCCTAGTGTCAATCTGATGTGCTCTTAGGGTTTCTTTCTAGGATACAAAGAAAAGAAAGACATTTACACTGTAACATCATTGGCATAAATGCCATTCTCCCCACTGATTATAATACTTACTAGTATAATCTTCTCCAGCTAAGAAAGATATTCAGTTTCTGGAAATTCTAACTTTAACATACGTGACCAGTTTTTACAGTGATTTTGAAACTAGTAGATTTTCAAGGCAGCCTAGTGTAATGGAACTGTCTCGAACTAGAAGCACTCAGGGGATCCGAGTTCGTGTTCTGGGTATTTTGGAGCAAGCCATTGACTCGAGTCTCTGGGCCTCAGTTTCCTTGTTGGTTACATTAATGGATCGGAGTGATGACTGAGGTCTTTCAGGCCTAAGATTCAGTGAACTCTGTCCATTCACAGAGACCTTACACGAAATAGGGCACTCAACCTACAATGGGTACATGGAAAGTAAAGTTTTTGCTTTTATATTTTGAAACAGGTGACAACCAAAGCCAAGCAACTGAAGGATTCAGTTACCTGCTCCCCAGGTGAGTTAGCACCCACTTCATCTCATTAATCTACAGTGGTTTTTTCCAAATAAATCCCTTTTTATGATAACTTCTTTAGATACAAGGATGTGGTAATTTTGCCCAGTGAACTCGTATCTCTAAAAGGGGTTGAATTACTGGCACCAACAAGCCAAATCCAGCCCTGCATGTACAGTTGGTGCTAAGTTGTATTTAAGAAGAGTTGTAGAAATCTTCTCTAGTATGTGTGGAGAAGGGGAACACAGGAGAAAGCCAGTCTGTGCACCACACAAATGCGCTGTGCGCACAGCTGCCCACACCACCCACCCCACCACCACACACACAGAGCTGCCCTTCGGGAAAGACAACAGCTTTCCTGAGAATTGACGTTTCTCAAAATCTGTTTCCTCCAAGATTAACTGGAATTTTGTTAGAGTCTCCATACTCTTTGCTTGGAACCAGGAAGTAAGAAAATGCCTCCGAAATCTTCCAGCTTAACTCAAATACAGGTGCCAGGGAGAGTAATACACTTGAACAAGCCAGGAATTTGCAAACCCGGGGGATCTCCAAAAGTCATCCCAGCCAGGCACCTGGAGTCCCAGCTACTCGGGAGGCTGAGGCAGGAGGATCACTTGAACCCAGGAGTTTGAGACCAGCCTGGGCAATATAATAAGACCTGTCTCTAAAAAATAAAAATTTAAAAACATTTTTTAATAAGTGCTATTTTTTTTAAAAAGTCATCCCAGAAAGGATTCAACTTGTAGTTCTCCAGGCTTTAAGAAAGAGGACGTTTCCAGATTTCTTTTTCTACTAGTAAAGTTATTTGTCTGGGCATGGAGGCAGAGGTAGGCAGTGGGATATTGTGTGAGAGAAGCCTGCCTCCAAGACGTTCTCCAAAAATGTATTATTGAAGAGGCGGTGCGGCTCAGAGTAACGCACTGACACGGATCTTCCTGGAGCAAAGGTTTGTTGGAGACAAAAGGAAATGAGGAGTTGAACATTTTAGGGTCTCTCTGCGGTGTCACCTGGCCAGGTGAAGGCACGTGCCCATTGCTGTCAGGGGCACCAGAAGCAGCTTCCAGCGGACCCAGGGTGGGTGGCTCACAGATGGAGAAGGAAAAAGCAAAACCAGTGTGATATTTGGTGACATCCAAATATGCTGCAGCTCTCTAAAAGTACCACTAGATCTTTGGCACAAACATATTCATGGAACTCCGTGTTTTACTTTTTGTTTTTTAATAGCTGTTAAAGATCCAATAGCCGTTAAAGATCCAAAGAAATTTGAAATAAAAATATTTCTTCTGATATTATCAAAGCATCTCTAAGAGGTGTTATGATCCATTAAAAGCCGTAAAACTGTGCTTCTGAAATAGTATTGGAAATTCTAAAATTGTTCTTAAGACCGTGGATGCCTTTCAAAGACTTTGCAATGGGAAAGTTTAGGAAAATACAGCTGGCTTAATAGGCTAATGGACAAGGTGGAAATGACCTTCTGCTACGATAAGAACACAGTCAAATTCAAGCATTTGGCCCTTTCTTATGAGAGGCGCTATAGTGAACATGGAAAGAAATGTTTATTCAGAGAAACTCAAGAAAATACAGATAAATAAGAGAAAGAAAATAAAAATCACATTTTAAGCTACCCACAGTTTCTATTTTGAGAGAGAGATTTCTCCAGACTTTCTCTGATACACACATGTGCATATAATATTTTAATAAGAATGGGACCGTACTACAATATTGTTTTATGGTTTGTTTCTCCATATAGTCATATGCCTATATCATCATCATGATGGCTACGTAGTAGTCCATGATACAAATAACATCGTTTATTTATAACAAATCGCTACTGTTGGACATTTTGCTTCTTTCCATTTTTTTTATTGTTATGAAGTAGTGGTCTTAAAAGTGGGGTCTTAAAAGATTATCCTTTGGAATATAGGAACACTATATTAGGATTTCTACTGATTTTTACTTTTATCTTAAAACATTTTATGAGAAAGGAATTTAGCTTTCTCGTAGTTAATATACAGACTTATGCCAGGACCCTCACTGTGTCCATCATCAGAGGGTACACATGACCTATGACACTGATGTTTCCTGGGGGGACAGTGGGAATTCCACAGTGCTGACAAGGTGGTGGTGGCCTCATCACTCATCTTTCACTTTGAACATAATCGTAACAAAATACCCAGCCGAGTGGATTTACAGATATCCGTAGAATCACAGTGACGCTTTTTAAGATGGAGGGCAGGGATGGGAATATTTTATATCACACAGAGTCTTCTTACTTATTTTGACAAAGTACTTTAAAAAGTTGTTGAATTTAAAGATCATCAATTTCAGAGCCAGGAGTGGTGGCGCACACCTGTAATCCCAACTACTTGAGAGGCTGAGGCTTCTCGCTTGAGCCCAGGAGTTTGAGACCAGCCTGTGCAACATAGTGAGACCCCCATCTCATTTTTTAAAATAATGATAATTAAAAAAAAAAAAAAAGCCATCCTGGGCAATAGCAAGACCCCATCTCTACAAAAAAATAGAAAAAGTAACTGGGCATGGTGGCACGGGCCTATAGTCCCAGCTACTCGGAAGGCTGAGGCAGGAGGATCGCCAGAGCCCAGGAGTTTGAGGTTGCTGTGAGCTACAATGACGCCACTGCTCTCTACCTGGGGTGACAACAGCCAGACCCTGTCTCACAAAAAAAAAAAAAAAGACAAAAGAAATTTTAAAAAGACAGTCAATTTCACATTTTTCTTTCACCAAAAAAAAGTTCTAAATTTGCCGACAGATATTAAAATGTTTCTACAAAATAGAGTTTTTAACAATGAATGTGAAAGTAATCATTTTGAAAGATATTTCTACTGTAGAAGGAACATTTTGAAAATAGATACTTGGAAGTATTTCCTTTCTTATGTATTATTCTGTGGCCAAAACAATGTGCTTCTAAGAACTCTTATTTCTTCAGATTAAAAAATGTTGAAGATACAATTTTAACCTCTAAATCTTTCAAACAAAAATATAAAAGCATAACAATATAAAATATTGTTAAAAATATAAAAGCATAACACTTTCTATTTAGTTTGTTAGAACAATTGATTGGTTTGGGGAAGATTTTTATGAAAATTTTTTTATAATTTGTAAAATGAATTCCAGAGTTTAGTGAGCACAGCCAACAGTATGCTACACTTGGATCTATGTAGCTTTGCGAGTTGTCTTTTCAGCTATGGTGGCCATTAAAAATCAGATGCCAGAATAAACTGAATTTGGAGCTAGCCCTTTAATTTAGTATTTTACCTGATATTAAACAATTTTTCAGTCTCATTGTTTCTAATATTAATATTTTCATGAAAATGTTTTGATTCACTTGATCTTTTAGATTATCATTTTTCATTTTTAACTTGATTTTCTTTTGCACATGTATTTTATAATTAAATAATGCGTTAGAGTGGTAATGGATATAATTTGTGAATAAGCAAATATGCATATATTAGAGTTGTATATTCAAAAATGTTTTATGGATGGGGTGCATAATCTAAAAAGTATGGAGATCATGAGATCAGCGTTCGCTGCCTGTTTGTAACAGCATAAGTCTGGGACCAGGAGCTATTTAAACAAGTCATGACATATCCATTCAGTGGATTATTACACAGTCACTAAAAGCAGTGTGACTCTTTGTGAGCTAATTCAGAACAGTCCCCAGAGCGATGCCGCCACTAACATAAAAAAGGAGAGGCAGATACAGCTGTATCACGCATACTTGACTCACCATGTCTCTGAACGCTTGCACTCCCAGCCGCTCACGCTGAGTCACTATTGCCTCTGAGGAAGCGCATTGGGAAGAGGGATTTTTTCACTGCATTCTCTTTTGTACTGTTTAAATTTTATGTTATGTGAAAGATTTTTTTAAAATTAAAACTAGTAAAAAAAAAAAAAACATCAAAAAGTGAAATAAATAAAATTCTACCTCTTTGTAGCTAAACTTTCATATAACATCTGTAATTATTTCCTTAGCAGAACTTCCTCTAAGTAAAATTATAGAGTCACAAGTAAATATATTTTTAAGGTCCACCTACATTTGACAGATTGTCCTCCAGAAAGGCTAGAACTGTGCTAATAGCCACGTGTGGCTATCTAGATTAAAATTAAAGTTCCAATTAATTAAAATTAAATACAGTTAAAAACTTAATTCCTCAGTGGTGTCCCCGTGGTTAGTAGTATCGTAGGAGGTTACACTGGACAGCCCTGGGCTGGCCTGGTGTCCGCGCCACTGCCCGTGTGCAGGGACCGGTACGGTCACACTGGCCCACCTTGGCCGAGCAATCGCTGAAGGTGATGGGTCCTTGTTTCCGTTTGCTACTATTCATCAGCTGTATTTGTATTTCTTCCTTCGTGAGTTGTCTGCATCCTTTGTCCTTTCATCCTCCCGACACACTGACAGTTTCAACACTGTCAGCTATTCTGTCCTATTAAAAGGTTAAAACTTGTTAATAAAGTTTTCCTTTCCGTGTTTAAAAGTACTGTAGCTACTGGTATAATTTGCTCATACACCTACCTGCCAGAGGCACAGTGTGAGGCTCGTCCAAAGAGACGGTTGCGTCTTTGGCCACAACTTGAATGTGTGCACACCCGTTGTCCTCAAAGCAGTGAAAGGGACAGAGATTTGGGATCAGCAGGACTGGTTTCAAATCCCACCTCTACTGCTTTCTGAGACCTCTTTTCCTCATGTGTAAAATTAGGGTAATGATACCAATCTCTCTACAATAGTGAGAAATGCAGTTAAATAATGCCCAGCACGCTGCCCGGTGTGCGGCCGGCAGCAGCCGTGGTCACTGTCGCCCCAATTCACCCGCCCTCTCTGCGCGGCCCTGTCCCCAGGCATGGTCAGGCTCTCGGAACTCAGGTCCACGGCTCAGAGCGCCCGGCCCGCGAGGACGGCCCCGGCCCTGCCGGACGACATCATCACCCAGCGGGAAGAGGCCCAGGGGGCGCTGGAGGAGCAGGACGGCGGCTCGGAGCCGGAGGCGGCGGCCCCAGAGAGCCGGCCCCGCAGGCGGAAGCCGGCCCGGCCGCGGGAGGCGGGGGCGAAGGCGGAGCCCGAGGAGCGGGGCCGCGGCAGGAGGCAGCAGGACTTCGGCGCCGCCGAGCGCAGTGGGTCCAGCGACGAGGACAGCCGCGAGAGAGGGAGCACTCGCGCTGCCGAGGGGCCGTGGACTCAGGGCCAACAGAAGCTTCTGGAGCTGGCGTTACAGCAGTACCCGAAGGGATCCTCCGACCGCTGGGACAAAATAGCCAGATGCGTCCCGTCTAAGAGCAAGGTGGGTGAAGGGGAAGGAAGGGCTCGGACTCCCACTGTCATCTTTCCCTCCGTGGTCCTGCGGCGCCTTCGCGATCGCTTCTCCCAGGGCCCTTGCGGCGCGTTTCTCCGGAGAGCATGTGGGCGCGTGCGCTCAGTGACCAGTGTGTGCAGACGAGGTCAAGGCTCTGAGTGTCGTCATTACCCAGGCCACGCACAGCCGCCCGCAACCTTGTCGAGAAGGGTCTGGCTCGGGGCCCGGTGTGAGGAAGCCCAGCTCGGCTCAGCCTCCTTCTCCTCCTCCTCCTGGGGAAGGCAGCAGGCTCCCCACGGGGGTGGAAGCTCCCTTTGTCCAGGCTGAGAAGGGTGCCATGACATCACAAGGTCCTCTGGCTTTATGACAAGTCCGCAAGCAGGGGGCTGGCTGGGGGAGGCAATGTTCCGATCCCCCTCAGTTCTGCACGTAAACGAATTGGTACTCAGGGTTGGCGCCCGTTGCCCAGGGGCTCCCAGGCAGTATTTTTGTGTGGGGTCAAGTGTGAGGGTGACATTTAGGATTCTGCTTACCTTCTGTAACCTTGGCCATTTGTAACTGACTTTTCTCCCTGCTTAGAGCTCTTAGTATCTGCTAAAATACATCCGTAGGTAGTTCTCAAATAAAACCTCACAGAGGCAGGGCAACATGGCCACTCAGACCTGTAATCCCAGCACTTTGGGAGGCAGAGGTGGGAGGATCGCTTGAGGCCAGGAGTTCAAGACCAGCCTGGGCATCATAGCGAGATCCCTGTCTCTACAAAAAATTTAAAAATTAGCTGGGCGTGGTGGCACACACCTGTAGTGCCAACGACTTGAGAGGCTGAGGCGGAAAGATCACTTAAGCCTAGGAGTTCGAGGCTGCAGTGAGCCCTGATCAGGCCACTGTACTCTAGCGTAGGTGACAGAGGCAGACCCTGTCTCTTAAAAAAAAGAAAAACACAAGGAGGAAAGATGGCTGTACCCTGTGGAGAGCCACCCGTACCCCAGGCAGTCCCTTCTCCTTGTGATCTGGCAGTTGGGAGCTGTAGAGCTTCAGGGTGTGATCTTTTCAACTCAGGGCTTTCGCGACACAAACCGTCTCCCGTGGCTGCTTTCCTCGTGGCTGCATTCGTAGTCTGAGGCACCAGGAACCATGAGGAATCAAAAGAACCAATCTCTCCTGCCTTCTGTGCCTATCACGCCGGAGCCTCTGGGCACACTGCTGCTCATTTACATTCTTATTTTTTTTAATTGAAATTCTGTGCAGGAAAATCTAGCTCGTGGCCATGCATGTCCCTGAGTGTACAGGTCTGGTTGTCTATCACCTACTCTAAAATGATGAAAGTTGAGAGTTCCTGGGGAGAAAAATAAACCATTAGCAATTGATGTATTTGGGAAGCACAGATTCTCCCAGCCTCTCCAACTGGTTTGCCGGAAGTAATTATTTTCCCTGAATTTCCCTAGCATCTGTCAGGACACAGGCATTTGCATGTGTGACGAATGGACATTGGCTGGAAAGGAAGGCCCTGGAGCAGTGGATTCCTGAGGACAGAACACTGGGAAAGTCATGGCCTTGGGGGTTGGAAGCCTTCCCATTTTCAGCCAGATGGGGTCGGCCTGCAGGTCCTCCCCTTAGGCCACAAGTGTAGCAGGCCCAGGGCTGCCTGCCGCCGCTCCTGCCTGTACCTGCGGAGCCTCGGGAGCCGCTGCTCCGCGCTCAGACCTCTGAGGGCTGAGTGCAGGTCTGGCCACATCCGGTTTCGTGCGCTGTGCCACTAGGACGGCGAAGCTGCTAAGGAAGGCTAGGATTTTTATAGACCTTAGGCACGTGGATCTTTGGGAAGGCAGAAAAGGCACCGATTAGAAGATGCTCCTCACCCTACTGAGGTCCTAGGAAGAGAGCGAACATCTCTGCCCTAACCAAGGCAGCTGGTAAAGTCATGCGCCCTAGAGCAGAAGTCAGTTTGCTCTGGAGCTAAGCTAGCAAAGGCTTAGGGTACCTACCACAGAGCTGGTATTTTTCAAAGAGAAACAGATTGGATGCTGGAAAGTACCTTGTGATCCACATGAGAATAAGGAGGCCCCTCCCCGCCACCACCCATCTCTGCTTCAGCCTGAGTCCCCTGAGTCCCAGCCCACATGTGACAGCTCCAGGCAGCCGAGACCCGAAGCTAGTGGTTCCGTAGCCTGTGGGGACACGAGTGAACAAGTGCGGCCACCGTGCCGGACAGGGCAGGGCTGCTCGTGGCACTGGCCCCCGCAGGAGGGTCCTGGCGGCCTTGGGAAGGCGGGCCCGGCGAGGAGAACGCTGTGGCTGCCGGGCCGCAGGTTCTTGGTTTCTCTGCAGTGGCATGTCGTGAGGAGATAGTGAGACGCTAACGTGGTGATTCACAAGTGGAAAGTCCAGATCATCAGTACAATGACATATGCCTCCCAAACTGCTACCTGGGCTGCAGCAGGCCCCCTAGCACCTGTCTAGCCAGGTCCGCCTCCTGCCCGGCTGGACTCGCCCGGGAAATTCCAGGAGGTTCTGGGTGAAGGGACTGGACACGAGCCCTCTTCGTTAGCACTGGGCCCAGGCCAACACACAGGACACCGGCTTGGGGAAGTAACTGTTCTCCCCTCTCTCTTTTTCTCCCTGCAGGAAGACTGTATCGCTAGGTACAAGTTGCTGGTTGAACTGGTCCAAAAGAAAAAACAAGCTAAGAGCTGAATATTCTGGAAGACGATGGTCACCTTCATTTTCCAAAATGAGTATTTTAAAAGTCTCATGCAGAAATTTGCATTTTGTACCTCAGTATTTCTATACGTCATGTGCCTTAGTAAAAAAAATAAATACTAAACGTTGTGCTACGTTGTTTAAACACACACTGTATGTGGCGGGGGGAAGGGATCTGGGTATTTCGCATATTATCCGTCATCACTGCAAAGTTTACTTTCTGGGGGACAAACAGTGCTTTTGAACAATCGGGCAGCTGCTGTGTTTTTGAGGGAAACACGTAAGCAAACCGATGTGGAAGAATTCAAACTTAATGTGTTTCTCTAAAATCCATGACCAAAGGACACAGCAGTTCGTGTCTTCATGGGAGGCTGAGTAGCAGGATGAAGTTGCTTGGGGAGAAAAATGCCAGCTTGGTGTGGAGCTGGCCAGGAGCAATGCGAGATTATCTTAATTGGTTAAATGTATTTAGAAAAAAAGTCTAAATGAACAAGGACATACGGTAATAAACTCCAAGTTTGGGCTGCTTGGCAGAAATACGTTCCCAACTGATAGAATTTCCAGAGAACATGCAGTTAGGAACTGATGAAATTGGGGCCTCTTTTTTTTAATACCTGAGTTAAAAATCACTATTTTGCACTATTTCTGCTGAAGTCTTTCACACTGTGTTTGAACTGTCCCCACCAGCTAAGCATCCCTTTTTAAATCTTCTGTCCTTTTCTCAGGGCTTGGAAGTAGTTGGATACGTGCAGCTTAAACTTGAAAAACGTGAAGATAACCAGAGCACATTTAAGGGAAGTGATTTGACAAAGTATCTGTAAAGATGTCATTTTTCTCCGAAGATCGAAATGAGGTTAGTTTCTGGGAGGAAGGTTTGGGTGGCAGAGGTCACCACTCTGCAGTGCGAGCTTCCCTCCATGGAGGGGGACGGGGGCCAGGCGAGCCCCGAGCCCTCGGATGACAGACGCAGGAGCTGACGGGCTCCCTGAGTGTAGGCCGAGCTCCCTGGTTCCAAAAAGAGCAGTTGAAAACTGACAAAACAGCAAGTTTACAGGATGAATACCCTTTATCTGAAAGGCTTGAGACCAGAAGTGTTTCCAATTTGGGAATATCTGCATATACTTAATGAGATATCTTAGGGAGGGAACCTAAGTATAACCATGAAATTCATTAGGTTTCATATACACCTTATAGGAAGAAGGTAATTTAATACAATATTTTTTATAATTTTGTGCATGAAACAAAGTTTATGTACATTGAACCATCAGAAAGCAAAAGTGCCAGGAAGTGGTGTCATGTTGGCAGCTCAAAAAGTTTTGGATCATGGAGCATCTTGGATGTGGGATTTTCAGATTAGGGATGCTCAACCTGTACCAGCCAACATCTCGCTGGTCTCCTGGTGGTCACTGGACTGCCTGAGTCACAGAGCGGCAGCTCCAGCGCCTGCCTGGCCGGGAGGGGAGAGGGGACGGGCGGGCACTGTCCTGCGGGCCCAGCAGTGCTCGCCACCCTCTCCCTCACAACACGCGAAGCTGAGCCAGTCACAGGACGGCACCAGGGCAGTAGCTTCTTCTCCAGAACTTCTGTCCTGGGGCTGGTGGGGCCAGGAGGTGGCGACTGCATTCGCTGCTGGCCACGTGGGTGGTGACGCACTCGAGAGGGACGAGGAGAGAGACCGTCCTGGCCCTCCTGGCCCTGAGCCCAGCCCCAGTCCTGTCTGCTGAGTAGCCTGTGACACTCTGAGCACCCTGCTATTAGGTCACCCGTTTTACCTATGCACCTTGAACCGGGTTTCTCTGTCACACGCCCCCAGAATCCCGTCACAAGCTTCTGGGCTTTCAGGTAGGAAATGTGACTAGCGATGGAACCCTTGACCTGCCTGCTGTCCTCATCGTCCCTACAGAGGAGGCTCTGGTTTGCTACTGCCTGTCTCTGCCTCCAGGAAGGCGCCGCTCCCCGAGGCGGGACTCTGGGAGCTGAGGAGCTGGGCTGAAGTAGGACCAGGGGCCGGCCTGGGCAGAGGGACTTGCGTGGGCTCCAAACAGCGCCCGGCTCAGAGGCACGTGACAGCAGCCACCCCAGGCCATGGTGGGAAAGTGGGGGAGTCTCCAGGCAGAGGCAGTGAGCACGGGTGGTAACCAAAGCCACACCCGCTGCCTTCCAGGTCCCCTGGGGAGACACCACCCATGTCACCCCCAGCTCTGCGGGTGCCTGCTCTGGGCTGCTGTGCTCAGGGCCTCGCTCATGACAACCAGCCCAGTGACTCTTCTCTTCCCTTTTCCTTCCAGAACTTTCCCCTTTTTATTTGAGGGTGGAGGTTGGCTGTGGGCGCCGACTGCCGTGTCAAACGTCTTTGTCCTTGTTGCATGAGCCCTGACTGAATGTGGACGTGCGATGTCCCGGGTGGGAGGGACCTTCCCAAGCTCCCTCCAGGCACCGGCCTGAGCATGTGGTCTGCAGGCCTGAGCCTCTCGGGGGGCCTGTGTCCCCTCAGTGTCCACTCTGTGGACGCCCCTGCAGGACTGTGCAGGCTGCGTCCATCTGCAGGGGGCCGGGCCTGGCTGGGGGCGAGGGACACAGGACCCCTGCTGTTGCCGAGGTGTGCGACACCAGGTGCCAGGTGCGCTGTCTTACTTTGTCTCAGCTCCTCATCTGGATAAACAGAGAATTAACAGGAGCTGCTGCCGAGGTTGTCAAGATGATGAAATGAGATCATCTGGCTAAAGCTGTTAACGTGGACCTGGCTTGTCCAAACGATCAGTGGTCCAAACGATCAGTGTCGCGTTTCTGACAGTCGCCTCCCCACTGCCATGGTTTCCCATGGTGGCAGGGCCGAGATCAGGCTCCTTTCTCCCCCGAGCCGTGGGGCCTGGGGGGCCTGGGGGGCCTGGGGCGCTGTGTGGACGCCGGGGTGGGGGAAGGGGCCGGAGCGTTCCCGCGGTAGACCAGGTGGCTTAGATTCTCAGCAAATCATCTGATTCTTCTGTGGAATCTGCTGTGGGGACCACGTGGGCCTCTCGCCTCCATCGGTCCCACCTGCGGCTGGCGGCGCACTCTTGTTCTGGCGCGTCTCCAAGCTCCCTTCCCAACTTTAGAATAAAATTTTAATAAACTTTCCGCTGTAAATGGTTTTGGACACCTTAAAAAAAGCCTCTTACTGCAGGCCTTTTTCTTGGTACGCGCCAATCCCATCCCTAAAACGCTTTTGAAAGTAGAGAGCTGAAGCTCTTTAAAAATACCGACTAGGCCATGCGCCCAGCTGTCTGGGGGGCCTGCCGTCATCTCAGCAGTTAGGTCTCCCGCGAACATTTGAATGCACAGTTTAAATGACGATGCCTTGTGCACACGGGGAGACCATTGTCCCTGCCGTCCAGGTCTTCGGCTGCCTCCAGACACCGGTGTGGGCCTGCGTTACGGGCCGCGGGGTGTGTGGGGCGCTGCTAAAGGTGGGGCAGCCCAGAAGCCTGCGGATCGGACCGGGGTCTGAATTGCCCCAGGAGGGGCGGTAAAGAGATGCCCCTCGGTTTTGGCTGCTGTTTGGCTGCGGACGCCTGGGCCCGCCCTCCAGGCCGCGGGGAGGCGGAGCCCCCGGGACGGGACGCAGCTGAGCCTGGTCTTGCGCCGAGGGCGCCCAGGTGGGCTCAGCGTTTTTAGGGCTGATGGTTGGCTCTGGAGGCCGCGTGGCGGCGAGGCTTCGGCGTGAGACCTGCGTGACTGCGGTGACTTCCACTGCTCAAGGTTAGTCCTTTTTTAAAAAAGGATTTTGATATCTCAGCTTAAATTTTAAAGCCTCACCCCCCCACCCCGCCCCAATTAATGGTCCAAAAACAAATCCAGCTTCCAAATACCGGGCTGAAAATGAATTGCCTTCGCCTCAGGTCTGCCTTTGTAACCTCACTCCCGAGTCCGCAGGCACGCGGGGGGTGTCGTGCCAGGCAGGGGTCGCGACCGCGGTGGCCAAGCCGGGGGCAGCCAGGCAGGTCGCCCCTGCGGCAGCCTCCCCTCTGAGGGGCCCGGGCTTTGCAGGGCGGATTCCGGGCCGGGCCGAGGCCCCTGAAAGTCCTTTGCAGACCGTGAAGGCAGCAGGGGCTGCACGGGCCGAGTGTAAACGCTGGGAGTGGGTTCGGAGTTGTTGGTGCGACGGAGCCGCACGTTGTCCCCGCTGGATGGTTCCACCGCGCGGCCCCTGTAGCCCGGCAGCCCGCGCCCTGGCACCGCCCGGGCTCCCGCCGGAGCAAACGCGCGCCTCCGGCCCGAGGCTTTGCTCACGCCGAGCTAAATGGTCGAGCTGTGGCTGTGACTGTTACCCTGGTCTGGAGGAAGAGTGTGGCAACAGGCAGTCCGCCCCCCGGGGGGACGCTGGGGGCGAGTCCCGGGGCCGCGAGCTGCGTGCGGAAGGCTACGGGCAAGGGCTGCCCCAGCCTCCCCCTGCCCCGGGCGGGGCGCTGCCAACGCCAATGGCCGCGCCTGCGCCAGCTGCGGGACATCCAGGGCCAGATTAAACAGGGTTTCTGCAAAGGGCCTTCCCCAGGTCACCTCCCCACCCTTCAGAGACCGCGGCAGGGACCTGGCGGAAGGGCCACCGGGCTAGTTGTGTAGAAAGGTGGCCTCTTGCCTTCGCCACTCGGCAAGGAGCAGCCCGGAGCCCAGCGCGTGAAGGGCCCCGTCAGTGTCCGGTTGTCTCTGGCGAACGCGGTTCGAAGTGAAGTCCTGGTCTCAACAGACGAGACTGGCAAGATGTGGCGGCAGCGGTGGAGTGGCTCTTGTTTTCTATGGCCTAAGTCACGAGGGAAAATGGGCTCTCTGTCAATGCTTTTGTCATTACGCAAAAAGAAATATTTTGTACAATTGCAGACGAGGCATCCACTCGTTTATACCAAATCAACCTGGTCCAGTCTGTCCAGAGCGGCGCCGCCGGCACGTGTGTGTCCCTGCGGATCGCCCTCGGCCGCTTGCCCTCAGATGTGGCTTAAGAAATCTCTGTTGGAAATTTTTTCTTTGGCCACAATTATGTGAAAACTGGAATTTAAAAGTTGGATGTGGACACTTGTGCCTGGGGCTGTCGCGACTGAATGGGAGGGAGGATTCTGTCCAGCACGGGATGGGAGGCGCCAGGATCTGAACCGCGT